CCCCAAAACCCCAAAACCCCAAAACCCCAGGAGAATCAATTTGAGTTGGAAAAATCAATAGATATAAAAAATAGAATTAGCAAATAAAAGTTAAAAATATAATCCAGGGAGAGTTGTGAATTAGTTAGCTCACTCTTTAATCACTAGTTTAGATGTGACTAATCAGAGCAAGCTTTACCTATTTTGCTTTTCTTCCATTTCCATTTCTTTGGCAAAGTTAAAATTTGAGGGGTGACCTCCCCTGGATTAGGTTAACACATTTGAAGCATATATAGCATTTGAGATTTCATTAGGATTAATCATGATACTTGATAGATTGCCGAATTGATCAGGATCTAGGTTACCAACTTCATCAACAATTAATTTTTGCTTTTTAGCCAGTTACTCCAAAACCTTTTGATCAAACTCATCTAAATACATGATATTACCATCTGGAAGTGTGAATTGCTATTTAATTCCAGTGCCAGTAACTTAAGCTGAGTTGTAGTTTTGTTTGGTTTAAGGTTGAATATTTGTTATCTAAGTATCCGCGATTATCTGCTATTACTAAGCCAATATTATATCATGCTCTCCCATTTTATCTTCAAGGGCTTTTATTCTGCTAGTGGCTTTGTTCAAAGCCAAATTAAGTTGTTAAATCACGTACTAGTTAGAGTCATTGCTTTCTTTAAGTATAATATTCTCATTCTTTAAGAACTTTCTTTCTTTTTTTGAAGCTTTTAATTACTTCTCCATGTCAACCAAAAGTAATTCAAGCCTATTCTAGTATTCTTAGGGAAAGTATTTCTCCATTCTCTTTAGTTTATCTAGATTTATATCTTAATCAAAATTAGCACTTGAAACGTTCGTCTAATCAAAAATACTCATTTCTTAGTCTTCTGTTGGTTTGCTATTTGGAACTGATGTTGTGTTTTCTTTGGCTTATTTTAGTTAATCCTCCAAATCTATTATCCTTTCACTCAATTCCTATGTCTATTTTTAGAGTCTATTTACCTCCTAAAATGCTTCCTTTAATTCCTGTTTCAAGTTCATATTATCTTCTACTACATTACTTATCTTAACAGGCGCCTCTTTTGGGTCATCTTATTAAAATTTGAACAGTAATGACCTTCCTTCTGTTTCAGTTAGGGCTTTTCTTTATAAATACTTCTCATAGTGATAGATCTTTAACTCACACACTTATAATGCATACTCTTTTTTCTCTAATTTGTCCTGAAGGTTCTTAATATTCTCTTCATTTAAGTTATTCTATTCATCTTCTTTTGATTTTAAGTCTTCTATAATCTGCTGTTGAATAAATAAATTAGCAGCAATATCATCATGCTCTTTTTGTACTTATTTCTTCAGTTCAATAAGGTTCTAGTTTTCTTAATTCATCTTCTCTAAAAGCTGTTTCTCTCTCTCTGGTAGGTCACCTAATATTATTGAGAGCATATCCTTATTGATTCTCAAATTCTGGTCTTAGTCCTAAATCTGTCTCTTTAAATTAGAATTCTCTGATTCCAGAAACTTTATTTAAAGGTTCTTTTAATTAATCCAGGCTTAGGGTCTTGTATTTTGACCTAGATAGGCGAGTTATGATCTTCCAGGTGCTCCTAATCTATCGGTATAACAAAGGTTGAGATCGTTACTGCTGAGCTTTCCATGAGGAATTCTCATTGGTGGAGCGGTTGACTTGATTTCTTCCCTTGCTCTGTGAGAACTTATTCTTTGCTATGGTTATTAAGGCTATGAGACCTATGGCTTGCTGTCCTCACCTTCTTCATCGTCATCTTCTTCGTCGCTTTCTTCTTCTTCCTCATCTGACTCTTCCTAACTTGACTCTGCCTGCTGCTACTGTTGTTACTGCCTTTAATTTCTATCGTCAGTTTTTTATTTCTTTATTCCTAGAGCCTATAGATCTTTCTAATTGTCCTAATTATTTTGGCTACCTGGTTGATAGTTAACTTAGATATTAGAGTTCTTCTTTTAATAGAGTGTAGACATTTAAAATTTAAAACAATTTTTTTATTATCTTAATTAATTCCTATCAAAATATAAAGAAACATTCTCTTATTCGAATTCCAAATCCCTCCATTGGGGTTTTGGGGTTTTGGGGTTTTGGGG